GCGGATGGTTATATCCTAAGAGCCTTGGAAATGAAAATAATAAATAACCCTATTATAATAATAAAATACACAAGTGAGAAATAAAGAGGTTTTCAAATTTAAAGCTTCAGCTGACTTTTAGATTTAACCTGAGGAGCTCAGGTAACTCATCCAAAGACACTTAGCTAGTTAGTGCCACAGCCTGACAGAATTTGTGCCATTCTGCCAAGTCTCTGTTTTTACTGACTGACTGAATTCATTTTCAACTATTCAACATTTTCAATCCTGAATAACCAAACTTTAATAAGGGTTTTCAAGCCAGGTAAGACAAGAGTACTAACTGAAGACCATAAGCTATATGCTATCTCCCATTCTTCCCTGACTTCATTTGAATAGTTTTTCTTCTCTTTTATGTTTATCAGATGTACAGGGCTTAAAGACAAATCACAGGTTTCCCCATGAGTCAGCTGCCATCCAAAAAATGAAAGGGAAAGAAAAACATGGACCTTTCTTCTTCAAGACTTATAGTGAGGGGAAAGAAAAGAAAAATCATTAGGACTCAGGGCTACTGACTTTTTCCTCCTAAATTCAGCTGCCCAATTCTCAGTAGCTGCAATACTAGTATCTGTACAACTATATTTAACAATAATATCTGAATTAGGTCTAAAAACAAGGTGATAAAGAACTGAGAAAGGCCAAGATTGATCCACGTAGTATCAATGCTTTTTAGGCTGGGCAGGGTGGTGCACGCCTATAATCCCAGCACTCAGGAGGCTGAGGCAGGAAGATCACCATGAGTTTGAGGCTAGCCTGGGAAACATAGTGACCTCAAAGCCAGCCTGAACTTTATAGCAAGACTGTCTCAAAAACAAAGACAAAAAGAAACAAAACCTAAAGAAAAACACCACTTTCACACCTCGGCATAGTAGCAAAAGCGTGTAATCTTTGTACTTGGGTGGTCAAGGCAGGAAATTTCCATGATTTCAAGGCCAGTCTGGGCTACACAGTGAGTTTAAGGCCAGCCTGAACTATATAGTGAGACCTTGTCTCAAAAAAAACCCCAAAAAACAAAACAAAACCAGCATATTATTTTTAAAGAATGTTTTTTTTTTAAATGGAAGAAGGTTAAATAAGTTCTCTAGGTTTTTGGGGGGAGGAACTGGGAATTAAATCCCAGAGTTCACATGACAGACAAGTACTCTACAACTGAGCTATACTGTATCCCCAACCCTTTTTATTTTTTTATTTTGAGGCACAGTCTTCCTAAATTGCCCAGGGTGTGATCCCAGCACTTGTGATCTTCATGCCTCAACCTCCCCCTACATATGTGAGGCTGAATTCCATCCCTAGCACTACAAATAAAAACAATAATTTAATAGCCTGCTGGGTGTGGTGCTGTATGCCTGTAATCCCAGTACTCAGGAGGCTGAGGCAGAGGACTGCTATGAGTTTAAGGCCTGCCTGGGCTATATAGTGAGTTTAAGTGAGTTTAAGGCCTGCCTGGGCTACATAGTGAGACCCTGTCTCAAAAAACAAACAAACAAATTTAATAGCCAGGTGTGGTGTATGCCTGCAGTCCCAGTACCCAGGAGGCTGAGGCTAGTAGATTGCCAGAGTCCACACAAGTTCAAGATTAGCCAGGAAAACACAGCAAGACCCTGCCTCACTCCCAACACACAAAACCTCTATCAACTCCAACAGCAAACACAGAAACAGACAAATGGAACTGTATCCAACTGAAAAAGTTCCGCACAGGAAAGGAAAAAAATCATCAAAGAAACAACCTACGAAACAGGAGAAAATATGTGCAAACTATACGTATGGCAAGAAAGCTAGATGTACATGCCTATAATCCCAGCACTTGGGAGGCTGAGACAGGAGGACTGCCTTGAGTTTGAGGCCTGAACTGTATCTCAAGACCCTGTGTGTCTATCTGTCTGTCTGTCTGTCTTTCTCTCTCTCTCACACACACACACACATTAAGGAGAATATAAAAGGAACTAAAAAACTCAAAACAAAAACAAAAGGCTGATTAAACAGGCATTTCTCAAAAGGTAAACAAATAGCCACTAAGTATATGAAAAATGCACAGTATCACTAAGCACCAGAGAAATGTAAATCAAAACCACAATAAGATTTCATTCCAGTAAGAATGACTATTGTCAAAAAGATTAAAGATAACAAGGGCTGGCAAGAAGGCAGAGAAAAGGGAACTCTAGCACACTGCTGATGGCAAGGAAAATTAGTATAGCTGTTATGGAAAATATAGAGGTTCTTCAAAAAATTAAAAATAGAACTACCATATGATTCAGTTATCCCATTACTGGGTATATAAAGAAAATGAAATCAGTATGTCAAAAAGGTACCTCTACTCCTGAATTTATTGCAGGACTATTCAACAATATTTAAGAAACCAAAACAACTTGTGTCTATTAGCTGATGAACAGGCAAGTGGTACATATACACAATGGAATACTATGCAGCCATAAAAATGTAATCTTGTATTTGTGATAACATAGATGGAATTAGAGATCTGTACATAAAATAAGCCAGGCACAGAAAGAAAAGTACTGCATGGTCTCTTTTCATATGTGGAATCTAAAAAAATGATCTCATAAAAATTCAGAGTAGAGGGGCTGGGGATTTAGCTCAGCGGCAAAAGCGCCTGCCTGGCAAGCGCAAGGTCGTGAGTTCGGTTCCCGGTACCGGAGAAAAACCAAAAAAATTCAGAGTAGAATGGTGGCTAACACACAGTAGGTATGGAGGGGTGGTGAAAGGTTGGGCTAATTAGTGGGTACTGAGTTAGAGATAAATAAGAAATTCTGGTGTGTTACTGCACAGCAGGATGACTACAGATAACAATTATATGTTACACATCTCAATGGCTAGAAGAATTTTGAGTGTTCCTTCCATAAAGAAAAGATAAATGTCTGAGGAGACACATTATGTTCAACCCAACTTCAACATTACACAATGTCTATATGTATCAAAATGTCAACATTAATATGTGTATTTTTATGCTTTTATGTACCCATTAAAATAAATTTAATTTAAAAATTCAAAAGCTCTATCAAAATATTAACTGTAGTTACTTATTGCTGGTGGAATTATGTGTGATTTTTTTTCACTCATTTACAGATCCCTCTATTTTCTACAATGAAAATGAATTACCTTTATAAACTGAAGATATAAATATTTTTAACTTAATGAGATTACTACCTTATAAAGTGGCTTAAAGATATAACTCCCTTATAGCAAAAAAGTAAAAAAAAAAAAAAAAAGATGGAAATGGTAACATAGAGATAATGTTTCAGAAGAAGAATCTATTTTGACTTTTCCAAAATTAGGACAACTTCAATGCTTGCTTTCTCACCTCAATTTAGACTTTGCTTCCAAGCGCTGTTTCATCTTGCATTTCTCCCTTTGAACTGATTCCTTCCCATCTGCTTTCAAATGCGTTCAGATTTCCTCTATCATGTCCTATACTCTTTCTGTTTTCCTTCCCTGCCAAATTTCTACAGTAACTGCTTTTCAGCTTCCAATCTGTCTTTAACCCTTGGCAATCTTGCTTTTACTCTAGAAGACATGAGAAGGTTGCATATGTAACACAACTTAACACTGCACGGGAGCCTTTACGGCACTGTGGCTGACAGTCAAGGTCAGCGAGGCCTCCACGACCAGTTAGCTCCCTCATGACCTAACGGCCCTTCCCTGACTGCTCAGTCACAGCTGTGCCCACTCTCCTTGCTAGCATTCCCAGCCCCTTCTTCCTTGGCAGCTCTTCACTCTGTACACTAAAATTGAAGAATATGCTTTCACAGCTTTAGCTACTTCTTTAGAACCAGTCTCTTCCCTAAATTCATTCTATTTGTCTTTCTGGTGTGCCACTGCTAGGTCCATGTCACTAGTCTAAAACAAACCTCTCAATTTTCTTCAACATCAAATCAAATAGTCCCCCACCTTAACTACCACATTTGAGGTCACTAACATCAAAATTCTCTCAGATTAGAAACCTGGGAGTTATTGCATTCCTCCCTTCCATCCGACAAATCATCTTCTAAAGTCTTCCCTCAGGGCACTTCACAGCTCCATTCTGATCTTTCTTTTTCCACTGTCAGAACTACAGCTCCACTACCTCAAGCCTAAATTACTACAAGAATTATTTCACTTTCCTGCTAGCTATAGTCACCTAGTCCCTACAAATCATCCTATACACCTGCTTGTACTTTTTATGGTACAATACTACAGAATTCCCCAATTGTTTACAGAATCTACATACATTTTAATGAATGCTTCACTTAAATAATTCTGAGAATGCTGCATGTTAAACCATTTCTTGGAAATGAAACACACTAAAAAAGCTCTGAGAAATATGCATAATTTTATTAGCTCTGTGATTCCCAAACTTGGCCATCACAGTTTTTCTAATTGATTTACTAAACCAAAACTAAACTAAATACTAAAGACTTTCATAATTGGGTACCATACTGTCAGAGGTTAAAATTATTATTATTCTGGCATATTATTCTGGTATCAAACCCAGGACCTTGTACAGGCTAGTCAAGGGCTCTAACACTGACCTCCCTCCTAAGGTCTACAGTAGTTTTTTTTTTTTTTTTTGAGACGGGGTCTCAATATGTAGTGCAGACTGGCTTTGAATTCACAGTGATCCTCCTGCCTCAGCCTCTGAAGTGCTGGGATAACAGGCATGTGCCACAATGCCTGGCAATTTTTTTTTTTTAATATTAGAATGGAGAGCATACAAAATAGCCTCAGCTATTTATTTGATGGGGTGAGAGGCTTTATTGGGGGAGAGGCCCCACAGCAACAGAGTTAAATAATAACACTATTGTTAAAATAGTAACCTTAATCAAAAGTTTACCACATGTCAGGCACAGTCTCCCCCTTTTCACAGATGAGGGAAATGAAGCAAGCATGAAGAGGTTAAGTGGCCCTGAGACAAACAACAACAAAAAGTGGTAAGAGTCAGGGCTGGATCCCGGGCATTTTGTTTTCATTACCTGCATTCTGAACCAATTCACAACACTGCCTCCTGATTACCATGAGAGATTCCTGAGTATATAAAAAGAAGTGGCACACATATCTAGATTGTCTCATCCATGATTTTTGGTAGGCATTTATTCTATTCTGAATGTTTTCTCAAATGCAGAATGTGAATACTGTCCTGAAAAATCAAAATGTTATTGCTGTTATTATTTCTCATGACATTTACATAAACTATGAATATATATGATTATAGTGTTCTGGAAAGCAAACTGGGACAATACTGGAGAGCAAGTGAACCATGGCCATATCTTGTTACGCTCTCAATTTAGACTAAACTTGTCATTTAAACCAGAACACTTCTGAGGGTAAAGGAAGGTGCTATTAAAAATTATGCTGAGACAACAGGCATAAACCAGGGCTGTCCCAAGAAATCAGGATGTGTGGTCACCAAACCTCAGACACCTTAAAATGTCTGCTTTCTTAGATCAAATTTTCTGCTTTTCTATTAAAGTTATCAGCAATAAAAGAAACAAACTACAGGTATAATAACATGAACAAATCTCAAATACATTATTGCTAAGTCAAAGAAACCAGACTCAAAAGGTATAGGTTAAACAACTTCACTTTTGTAGCATTCTGAAACATCAAAAATGTAGGTAAGAAAAATGACAATGGTTGTCAGGGCTTGGAGGCGGGGAAAAGTCGATTACAAAGGGATAAGAGGAAACTCTTTGGACAGATGGTATGTTTTGTATCTTGATCTTGGTGGTGATTACACAATTGTGTGCATGTCAAAACTCAAAGAAATGATACCTCAATAACCTGATTAAAATAAATTTGGCCGCAGGCAAGGTGATACATGCCTGCAATTCCAGCATCTATGAAGCTGAGGCAGGAGGACTGAAAAGTTGAGCTTAGCCTGGGCAACTTAGCAAGACCCCATCTCAAAATAAAAAAATAA